CTCTGTAAGAGTTGTATATCAAAGTACCTTTCCCTGTAAGGTGCATATCGGAGTCAAAGGTGAGAAATGTACCCTCTGTCATGCCCCTATCATGTCTGGTGTGCCTTAAATCTTACCTTTGAATGAGAACTCTATGGATTGTTTACAGATGAAGTTTTACACTAGGACCAGATCACCCAGTGTGGCTGGTCTTTGGCAGTAGTCATGTTAAATTCTCTTTCTTTTTTAATCTTCCTTTAGGGTCACATAAAGATGAATTTATTTCAGAAAAGCTAACGCTTTGGTACATGACTTAGTCTAACTGGGTAATGGCTGCTCCAGAAAAATTGTCATTCTCCCCATTCCGAAAATGAATTCATCCAATCAGAAAAAAGGATTGCCCTGCTATTTATAGATGATGGCTAAGGTTTGAAGTGGGAAAGAAAGGATAGAAAATCTCCCCAAGCCCAGTGGTGCAGTGAATCCTCTATTTGAGCCTTTTTTATGCTTATTCCTGAAGCTAGTGAACCTTCATTGTCCTGTGGCTTCATATCTACAGAGCTTTTGAACTGTTCTGTACCTCAGGTGGTTTTTGCATGTCGCTGGGGATTGGAATCTAGAAATTATGCTGAATTTAATCTTTTTCTCTTGGAGAAATTGCCTCTGAAATCTTTCTAACTTAATCTTATTAGTATGTTATCCCATGTTTTAGGAACAGTTTTCCTTTAGAGGACAACTTCTCAGTGACTAGGGTAGTTACTCGGTAAGACACTTGCCCCTGTTCATCGAGTACAGGTGTGTCCTGTCCTCTGAGTGCTGTTACTCTGATTCCTTACTTGGCAGGGAAGTCTTAGAAGTGGATAAATCTTTCAGCAGCGGCAGCCCGTAGGGCACCTCTGAGTTCCAGTGCATTCTGATCTCTTGTGTGTCCTGAAAGGCAGCAGGAGTGTTTCTGGGGTCACACTGGTATTTTGTGAAAACATAGTTTCCTGCATGTTTTATGGTGCTGTTCTAAGTTAATTCTCTCTCTGAAACTGTGTTAATTCTTTGGAAATGAATTTTTCAAGCTTTTCAGTGTGGGCAGGGATTTTCCCACCAGGTGGTAATGGGCAATGGATCAAAATCCTGTCCTAAATAATTGAATTTTCAGTGTCATAGTCTGTGGAAACACACACTCCCTTTCTTCTGTGTCCATCTCCTCAAAAGTTGTCTGTGTCTTCATCTGCTCCAGCACATACTTTGGACTCCCTTTATATGCCACCATTCCTCCTTCCTCAATAGGTGTCTTCAGTGTTCTCTAACCATTTAAAACTGAATTTGACAAGTGGCTAAAAACTGACTTCGTCTGAGACTTGTACTTAATATATAGTTAATTATAGAAATAGCAACTCTTTAAAAAAAAAAAATCACTCTGTTGACTGCTTTTTAAGACCACATTGTATGCCAGAAGGCAGCAGCCTACAGCCCCGGCCTCTTCACAGGCAGCCGGTGAACAGTGGATGAAGTTGTCACGTGGTGGTTTTGCCCGGCCTGGGCTGGGCTGTGGGGAGCTCTCACCTCCAAGTGATTCACCTGCCACAATCCAGCCCGGGTCCGGTCTGGCTGGGGAGCATTCAGCCTGTTTCTTGCCTCAGTGCCACCTTTTCCTGAGCAAGTAGCCAAGAACTAACTTTATAAGCAATGAGTACTCCAGATAAATCTTCAGCTATAGTTGCTGAAGAGTGGAGAAGGTTGACCATCACGATTTAATTCTCCAGTGCACAAGCAGTGTAGAGTAATGTGTGCACGTGCCCACACATGCCCGTGCTCTGGCTAGCTCTCCCACTGCTGGGTCCATAGGCATCTGGGCCGCACTTTGCATTCACTTGTGGCTTTATTAGATTCACTGTTGTTGTTGTTTTTAATTGTTGTTTGTTTCTTTTTATTAAAGAAAGGTTTAATCAGCTAAATCAGACAAGCATCATTTTGTATTTAATGACAGAAACTTTGGGAACTTCTCTTCATTGAGTGAGCTTGCATTGTGAAGCAAGAGCCTACAGAAGGCACCTGTTCTAAATGAAAGTTCTGGTTCTGGAGGCTGGCAGCGCTCTGGAGTTTAAGGGCAGCCAGTGGTCGCTCCAGTCAGTGATGCCTAGTTGTGTAGAGGGGAGGTACACTGTGCACTCTTCTAGGTGTGAGGGTATGCAGCTTTGGATTTTAAAATTATGTACACATACACACTTTATATATATGTATGTATGTATGAAAACATGAAATTAGTTTGTCAAAAATGTGTGTGTTTAGTATTTTAGCTTAGTGCAACTATTTCCACATTATTTATTAAATTGATCTAAGACACTTTCTTGTTGACACCTTGAATATTAATGTTCAGGGGTGCAATGTGTATTCCTTTTAGATTGTTAAAGCTTAATTACTATGATTTGTAGTAAATTAACTTTTAAAATATATTTGAGCCCTTCTGTAGTATAATAGGGCTCTTACAGGGTGGGAAGGATTTTAATTTTCCAGTTGCTAATTGAATAAAATGGCCTCATTATGTATTTGGAATTATAGGAGTTTGCCTCTGGGTCCCAGGAACATCCAATGGGAATGACTGTTTTAGGCAGATTGTGATGATCTTTTTTTTTTCTTTAAGCTAATTAAATTGGGAAGCAAAGCATTTCACATCCATGTAGACTCCTATCACCCATACTCCCTAATTATGTGGAGCACAGATTTCATTTTGATTTCACATATTAACGTGTTGGAGAGGTAGACTTTTTTCCAGTAATAACACTGCACATCTAAGGTTGCTATTGTGTAAAATAAAGAGAAGAGAGCTAAGTATCAACTGATTTCGAGTATGTAGAGGAAGAGACCAAGTTGGTCATGTTCTTTACGTGCTTCTCTTTCACATACTCCATAATGGAGAGATTCAGTTTAGACCTCTAGACCTTAGAACCAAGCTGACAAGTGACAGGAAGTAAGTTACTACCAGTAGGTAAAGCACATGCTGATTCTCTTCATTGGAACCACATGGTTCATTAAAAAGAAGTCACCGTCTCTAGAAAAGCAATGGAAAAATATCTTAATCGCTTCCTTTTGATGGAATCTGGTCACAGAATAAGGCATTACAGTTAAGTCTAAACCGAGTCTTCTGGATGTTTAAGTATCCTAAAATAGCAGCCCAAGGTTGTCATTCTGTAATGAAGTTGACTTTAGGAATGTCAGCATTGACCTCTCCGTGCCACCATTGCTCAGCTAAGCATAAATTGCCGTTCTTAAAAAAGAAACAAAAAAGCTCTCTGAATGAGCATGGGGAAGAAAAGTTCCCACCCAGAAATTCTAGTAATCTGTAGTTTTTGACCTGTTCCCGCTTCCACGTGGGGTTTCTTTTCAGCTTTTAACCACTGGAATTTTCTACCTGCTATTGTTCCTCTCTGGAAAATATCTGTTTGGAAATGCTGCCTTTCAAATCTCTGCCATGGTTATCCATACTGTTGAGTTTGTTGTTGCTGTTCAAGAAGTGTCCCCATTTTATAACTTTATGCACATTCACACACCTGGCAAATCATTGACATGAGCGTTCAACAGTACTGCGGGTGGGGTGGGGCGGGCGGGGCTCACCACCAGAGCTGGCCCAATTGGCAATGCCTAAAAAGGCACTACTTGGGAGGACCAGATGTGAGGTTGGTTAGCACGGTTATGAAAATTTCTATCTAGCCTCCGTTTTGAATGGTTTTAAGAAATTTTGTATATGGAGGATGGAAATGCTTATATATTTATTGAATCCTTTTATCTTATTTGAAATTAAAACTATTAGGTGAATAACGGTTTGATATTTGGGGAGGGTTTTGGAGGGGAAGTAATGCCACTGATAAATTAAAAGCCTTGTTGATTTTGCAGAAAGGTACTGTTAGTGTCTGTTAGGATGCCTTTGTTTTTGTACATGATCCAAATCTTTGTTTTACATTTCTTTTATCCAAAATATTTAGGCATCTGACATTTTCAACCAAAATTTCAATTATATACTGTGATTTTTATTTGTTGCAATACATTAAAATTTCAGAGGTACTTTGGGGCTCAAAAGCTAGGATTTCTAAGTATGTGCATTTCACATAATAAAGCTGTTAATGGTGAGCAAAGTATTATATACTAACTAGATTTTTCCACATCTGTATAGTATATTATATGTATTTTGTGGTATTGAGATTATAGAAAGTTTAGAGTGTCAAACATGCGTTTAATGTGTATTTTTAAACAAATTTATGGCAATTAAAATATTTGGAGACAAGGGTATCACATTTCAATTTGTAAAGATCTTTTTAACTCTACTGTGTCATTAAGATGCTTTGTATAATGCCAAACCATAGCTGGAGAAACTAAGTTTAATAAATATCAAATAGATTTTCTGTATTAAAGTTTATAAACACTGTGCTCTTTAAACTTCTTCAACTCTTACTTTGCCTTTTCAGTGTAATTTCTGCTTTGTACCTGAGTGCCCACTGCTACTCTACCTGAAAAGTCTGGACCCCCAGTCCAGCTCTCATTTCCTGATTACAGAAATTCTGAACTTGCTGGCCATGCGTCCTTTTGCATAGATCACAGTTTGCCCTGCTCCAGCAAAAATCTCAAAAGAAGTCTTTTCTGCTGTTCTTGGGGGCTTGGGCTTTTATTGTTTTATTAAACTAGATTCTTCTTCCAATTCTGCTTTCTGTTCAGTCCTCGACAAACTTGGGCACATCATCAGGTCGCAAATGCCAGCACTGCCCATCTCTGACACCTCACTGAAGAGTCCTGACACCGAGTGAAGGGCCAGGATCCAGGGCCACAGCTCGTGAACTTGCCAAGGGTGATCACGTGGCTATTAGGAAACCTTCGTCTTTCAGCCTCTCATCGTGTTCTTTGTTTCTTAAGTGTTCACTTTCACTGCAGTTTGCAGATTGAGAAGTCTGCTATTGGGCAATGCTGGGGTTTTTTCTGTAGCATACAAAATGAATCCTTTTCAAGCCCTGAAAAGCTTGAATTCCAGACTGCGAAAATTTTGAGACATTTAATAATATACATAGAAAAATAAACTCTAAACTGACAAGTTTAGTAATGCTTATCTACATAACATTCTAAGAAGAAACAGAGACCAGTTTAAAGCATACATCTGTCTTTAAATATTAAAAATACAAGACTGCTTCACTTAAGTGTCTCCAGCCAAAATGCAGTTAATCAGTATCGCAGAGAACAGAGCATTGTTGTAGGGGAGCGCTGTCCTCTTTTCTCCTGATTAGTACATCATTCCTGGGCCACACTCAGGGAACAGCGTCTTTTTCTAAAGGAAAAGAAAAGGTGGTGTTTTTTTTTTATAATTTATTTAGGATTTCATTTATTTATTTGACAGAGAGAAAACGAGAGAGGGAACACAAGCAGGGGGAGCTTCAGAGGGAGAAGCAGGCTCCCAGTGTAGCAAGGAGCCCGATGCAGGGCTCGATCCCAGGACCCCGGGATCATGAGCTGAGCCACCCAGGCGCCCCAGAAAAGGTGGTTTTTAAGACAAAGGTCTAGCAGTGCCCAGAGCCAGCCACCTCTTGCGCATTTCCTTCCTCTGCTTTTCTATCCAACCTCAGGGTAAACTGCAGAAAGCAAAGGCACCACTCTTTCGTGGTACCTGTGTGGAGCTGTTCTTGGTTCTTGAATCCTGAGGGATTCTCCAGGGAGCTCTGGGCTACAGCCCAGGCAATCGCCTATTCCACTTTTATTCTTAGGTAAGTGTGTGTGCTGATCTTGCCTCGGCCCTGCTCTCAAGTTTGTGGAATACCTGCACAACATCGTGATGCACTCAGAATCGTCCCGGCAAGAGGATCCAATGGGCCTGAGGGAGACCCCTCTCCAAAACGGGGTCATTCTCCGGGACCTTCTCTTTGTTGAACTCAGTTGCAGTATGGGGGAGCCATCTACCTGTAGGGCAGAGACAACCTCAGGTATGGAACCGTTGACCCCCTTCTGCACACCTGGGGAGAATCACCCCCAGGACGCTGTAGACTCGAGAGCAGAGGGACCCTTCCTCAGGGCTGAGTCCCATTCTCAAGTTCTGCTTGTGATTTTCCCACCAGTACAACGCCCACACAGGCACTTCCTACCTGGTTCAGCAGCAGCAAGCAGATCATGAGCACTGCAAAGAGTTTGAGGTGCCACATCTTGCCGGAGGGAGGTGGTTGGAGCCTGGGACCCAGCAACGGTTCCCACTGGCTTTTATAGACTGAAAGTCACCTCTTTTATGGTTGCCAGGTGAGATGGGGCAAAGTTTGTATTTGCAGTCAGGGTCAATTTAATAAGTTAATGTCTACCAGAGGAATGTGCTCAAGGCCTGCCTTTCAGGCACGTTGTATTTACTGATCCCTCACCTGGACTTTTATGTTGCTGGCTTGGACCCTTTTGCCAAAAGTCAGCACCACCCCCTCCTTCCCTTTGAAAGCCACGTGAAGCCACTGAGGGAAACCAGGCACCTAGCCACACTTTGATTCCAAAATAGCTCAGTGAGATCACTGTAATCAAAATAGAAGTCTCATGAGGCCTTTGCGTTGACCCCTCTCAGCCTTGTCTGGGAAAGAGGCACCAATCTATTGCATTACAGGCAATTGGATAAGGCCCTTACCTCCCTTCTGTGGGAGGTTCTTCAGCAGGTGTGATCTAAGAGTGCCCCAGATCCCCCTTTTGTATAGATGGCCTGCCCTCCCAGTTACCTGCTCCAGATCATCTCCCTAGAAGAACGGACCCAGCTGTGGCAAGTTCAGAGTCTGGCCTACCTGCCTTCTCCCAAAGGAAAGGCAATCAAGACTGATGTGGGACTTCCCTGAACTGTGGGTGAATTGAATCAATGAGTATAGGTTTTTTTGTTTTGTTTTTAAAAAATGTGAATCAGGAGTTAGTAGGGGCTCCTGAATCAGTGGGATTGCTTGACGATGGTGACAAATCACACTGCAATCCTTGAATTCTGGGCTTTCCTCGCCATAGTAGACTGGGTCCCTCTGCGGGGCAGAGCCTTCCAGCAGCCTCAGGGGAGCAGGCCTAGGGCTGAGGTATCGCTAAAGCCCAAAACATTGATCAGCTTAAGCAGAACTGCTGCAGGTTGCTAGAACAAGAAAGGGCATGTACCTAAGTCGTGAGGTGTTATGGGTACTCATTAAATGATTTGGGGGAAAGGTGTAACTTTTGAGTAGGATTTATAGGACTTCAGATCTTCCTATGACTGGGAAGGATGAGCCAACAAGACAAAGGTAACAAGATTATTTCTCTGACTGGTGTCTCCGTAAAAACGTGGCTGATACCTCTTCCCAAGGCCCTTACCATTGTCAGAGGTCGGATATTTGGTTTGAGCCTGCCTGTTCCACAAGGTAAAGCGGAGGAGATGAGGTACAGCTGAAGGTGGAACGGGATGGTTGCCAATCCTCTCGTCAAGGGAGAAGACGGTGGTGAGGTGGGCCTAGGGACTGGGACAGGGCAAGAGGGGGGTGTGACTCCACAGAGCTGTCTGTCCTGGTTCTGGTCCATTAAGGACCATGGAGCCAAGCCCAGAGGGAGACACCACTGCGTGCATGTCAGGAACATGGAGAAGCAGACTACTCAGCTGCTCCTTCGCTTTTTACCCCTGAGCTTGGATGTTGAATCACCCCACGTAGGGGCTTAACTAGGAACCTTTGTGGGGTGGGGAAGAAACTATGTGATGACCTAGTGAACATTGGGTAAGAACACAAACCCGATTAGATAAGCGAGAGACTGAACAACGTGATGTCCTAGAGACAGTTGGGTCTGGTGTGGCCTCAGTGCCAGCCTGCTCTTAAGAGAGGGATATGCCAAATGGGATTTGGAAACTTCTAGTTCCAAACATGGGTACTTTCTCCTAATTCTCCATATCTGCCTTCCTGTACCCCAAGCAAAATCAAATTAGCCTTTGTGTTAATTTAATATATAGCCAGTACCCCAGCCAAGGAAAGGGCCTGAGGCTCCAGTGTGCCTAGGGGGGAAAATGTACCATTCATCATCATGAATGGGACAACACTGCAGAAGCCTTTGGGGTTTGAGCCTCTACCTTGTATGCCACCCCTCCTCCCAGAAGAAAAAACCTATTAGTTACTGCCCATGGAAGGAACCACTGTTAGGACAAATATTTCTTTTTGTTGTTGTTGCTGTTCTTAGAGGCAGGGGGAGAAGCAGGCTCCCCGCAGAGCAGGGAGCCCGATGCGGGGCTCGATCCCAGGACCCTGGGACCATGACCTGAGCCGAAGGCAGACGCTTAAGCATCTGAGCCACCCACCCAGGCATCTCAGGAAAAGTATTTCAACATGTCTACATTACCTCTTTGTTTTGAATCAACTGAGCAAAAATCAGTTTTTAAAAGCGAAGCGGCATCCAGACATTAGCTGAGGTGACAACAGTTGTCCACAGCCATCCCACAGCCCTTGAATAGTTGTGAAATCCTATTCCTGAAATTAATAAATTTAAAAAATTCGTGAGTTTTCTACAGCCAAGTATTTTGCTGAATGAGTAAACACACAACTACATACGCCTTCCTCCAGCAGAAAGGTCTAAGCAGCCTTTACTAATTTCAGCCATAAAGAGAACGCCTGGCCGGGAGGCAGGAGCAGGGGGTCTAGGTTAACTGACCACAGGCCAGCCTTTTCCCTTAGAGCTTTAGTCTCTTGTTCTCCCAACGAGATGGGAGTAGAGCTGAGGCTTCTCAGCCACTGACATTTGGGGGTTCAAATGATTAATTTACAGGAAGAAAATGAGAAGCTTGTTTGACAGCTTCTAGCTTGGTAACTCTACTTCAAGTCCCAGGGACTTTCTGCCCCTAAGTGCGCAGAAGGAAATGGGAGAAAGGGTGTAGCTACACGAGCAGTTTGAAACACATTCCAGGGGGAGAGGAGACCATGAAGGCTCGGCAGTAACTGGAGAGTTTGCTGTCCCTGAGCAGGACGTGCCTAATAAAAAATGAAAGACTCTGAAATGGAAAAGTTCCAGGTAAAACTTCCAGGGTCAAAGTGTATTTGCTTTTCTGCTGGCTGGACCTGGCACTAGATAGGCCTGTATCGCCGGGACTTGGTTGGCAAACCGGAGTTCACTTTGCCACACTGTACAGCGCAGAGATAAAAGCCCTGGTCGGGGCAGGGCCCTGCTGAGGAGAAGGGCCGAGTGAGTAAGTGGCTGTGCCCCGGAAGCAGATGAAATGCCACACCCAGGGCTGGAGGCTCCACGTGGATGGTTACAGGCAGTGGGGCCCGCAGCAGTGGTCCCTTTCTTCCTTGAGAGACTTCACCCGTTTTTCTTTTCTTTGTGGATTTCGGCAGATAGAATGGCCCCTAAAATCATCCCAGATCCCCTATCACTTACAGGAGCACCGAGCTATACAGCTCACCACGTTCCAGCCCCCCACCTACCTCAGCACCCTGCTACACAGGGCTCCGTGCCCCCCAGCTTAGAGAAGTCAGCCCTTTGGTGAGACAGGCTGACGGCAGACTTTCATAATTTTCTTCAAAGGCAGAAGCTCAGCAGGTGAAAGGGCTTGCTTACAGCAGGGTCGTCTTTTTTTTTTTTTTAAAGATTTTATTTATTTATTTGGCAGAGATACAGAGAGAGAACAAGTAGGCAGAGAGGCAGGCAGAGGGAGAGGGAGGAGCAGGCTCCCCGCCGAGCAGGGCGCCCGATGCGGGGCTCGATCCCAGGACCCGGGGATCATGACCTGAGCCGAAGGCAGCCGCCTAACTGACTGAGCCACCCAGGCGCCCCTACAGCAGGGTCTTCTCAGAGCACTCCTGGGATAAAAATGATGCAGACCAGACCCGGTGCCTGGTCAGAGCTGAGAAAGGGTACATTTGCTTTTGTGCTGTTATCTCCAAAGAAGTCAAGGAACCAGGAAGAAACAAAGTCTTGGGGTAAAATGAAGCCAGGAAGATGGAAGAGGGTAGCCATCTCCCCGAAGTTCGGGGCTAGTCAGAGGGAGAGACCGATGAATGGCCTGTCAAGGCACTGGCTCTCCCCTGGTGCCCGAACCTGTTGAAACTATGCAGTCAGTTAAGCGTCTGCCTTCGGCTCAGGTCATGATCCCGGGGTCCCAGGATCGAGCCCCGCATCAGGACTCCCTGCTCAGCGGGGAGTCTGCTTCTCCCTCTGACCCTCCTCACCCCCTCATGCTCTCTCTCAAATAAAATCTTAAAAAAAGGAAAAAGTATGTGGTGTGAAGGATGGGTGGTGCGTTTCCATCTTCAGGTCCACAGCTTCATCAAATTCTCAACAGTCTATGCCCCAAACATGCAGCAAACCCTCGGAACAAATATAGACGAAGAGCCCAGGAACACTGGGCTCCACCATGTTGGGTGAGGCAGGAGTTTCCATCGTACAGGTGTCCTTTGTTAAGCTTGCCAGCCTCCTACAGATCACTCATTCCACCATTACCACAACCCTGTGGTTTTGTATTAACACATCATCTTAGCAACGAAGAGGTCAAAGCTCAGGAACGCAGGTTTCTTTCTTCTATCATACAGTGAAGCACCACAGGTTAAAGGGTATGGGCCTAAGTTCACCAGACTCAGAGGTTCTTCATCCTGCCTCCCAATCAACACAATTTATATTACCATTTTTTTGTTTGTTTTGAAGTATTTTAACTTCAGTTCCTAACAGACAAGAATAATCATTAGAATAAGAAAAAAAAAAAAAATACAGCCAGAAGCTGAACTACACTGTGCAAGCTGCTGCTCTAGACAAGCAGCACGTGTCCTCGGAAGTGAGGAAGTTTCTGGAAATGGAGCAGGGAACCAGAAGCATGACACTACCAACACCTACCTCAACCCATCTCCTGGTGAAGGAAAAAGGGTACCTTTCTACTAAAAAGATAATTCAAAGGCTCTAAAACGGGCAAACTTTTCAACAAAGGGCCAGGGAGTAATGATTTTAAGCATTATGGGCCGTATGTGATTAAAGCCCACCATTGGCAGGCTGGTACAGACACAGGCAGTTTAGCTCTGCAGGCCAAGGGGTGACCTCACCGCCCCCCTTTTATAGCTGACTTCCTTCCCCTCAGGCTAAGGAAGGCCTGTCTTAGGGTGGAAAGGCAGTCTAGGAAAGCTTTAAGAGCAAAACCTTTAGTGCCAGACTCCACCACTCATTAGCTGTGTCATTTTGGTCAAATTACTCTCACTGTGCTCCTGGGTCCTCATCTGCAAAATGAACACAATACTACTCCTTAATTCAAAGATAGTTCTGCAGTTTACAAGTACTTATTTGTGTAAAGGGTTAAATACCTGACATATACTAATTATAATATAGTTACCAGATCTTATTATGGGAGGAACCAACCCCACAGTTCACGCCACCCACCACTCATCAGCTGCAGGAGTAACTGCCACTAATTTCTTGTAGATTACAGAACGAGCACTGAGCCCAGATCCTTCACCGAACTCGCAGACTAGCCAAACTGTTCAGGACTCACGCTAGGAAGGGGAGTTCATGAACGTGAGCATCAGCAGCCACACCAAGGACTTGCTCACAAAAACACAAAATCACAACAGTGCAGTCCATAAGAAGTTTATTACATCTTGCAAGCCTTCAAGACCTTACAGGGTAGACTCCTCTCCCAGAGAAGGATCCTTCAGACACTGGGAACCACTATCCAGATGAATGGCTCATTTGTCATTTTCATAGGCAGCTGGATTCTTCCTCTTGGATTTCTCAAACTCCTGGGTCCCCCATGTGTAGACAAGATAAAACGCTACAAACGCTTTAAAAATCAAAAGTGAGAGTTCAGGATCGAGCCCACGGAAGACCCCAGGGTCCCAGTCTTTTCTGACTCCCTGCAGGCTCTGCCCTACTGTCTCTAGTTTCCAAGAAGCCCCTTTTAAACCAGACGATCAAGGAAGGTTACATCCTACACCCATTTCGCAGGTGACCAAAAGGAAGGGCCATCCCAGGAAAGTCTGTCACCAAACCTTCCCTCTCTCTGCCCAGCTGCACGTTTTTTTTAAATGTTAGAGGTCAGTGAGACATAATTCAGTAACACATACTTCACCATTTAACACCAGCGCACACTTGCGTGGGTTTTTGGTTTTTTTGCCAATTCACCGTGCGGAGCCACTGTCATCACTATCTGCTGCACACTTCACCGCTACCAAGTGGGTAAAGATGGCCTCGCAGGGAGACGCTGCAATCACACAAGTGACCTTGGGCCGGTCGCTTGTGCCTCAGTTTGCCCCCCCTGGGAGATGGGGAAGGCACACCAGCGCAAGGGCCTTCAGGAACACTGAAGCACGAGACCACGTGTGTGCGGCAAGTAGAGGGAGCTCCCTGAGGGGGCCCGCTGTCGCTCAGCGTCGGACGGGAGTCCGGCCCCCCAACCCGGGCCAAGGCACTCACGGGGCACGACGCGAAGCGCGCACGCGCGCGCGCGGCGCAGCACGTTGGGGATGCCCTTGCTGAAGTAGTGCGGGAAGGCGCGCTGCTCGAAGGGCGACAAGCTGTAGGTGATCACATGCCGCATCCGGACGAGATTCCCAAACTCGCGGCCCATGGCGCTGGCGGCGGCGGCGGCGCCTGCAAGACCGAGGGTGGACGGGCGCTTGCCTCAGTCCCGGGACGCGCCGCCCCCGACCCAAGACGCCCTCCCCGGAGCTCCTCATCCTTCCCGACCCAGGCGGCGCCCCACCCTCCCAGGGACCCCCACGACCGCGCGACCGGACCCCACTCCCGCGCGGGGGCTCACCTCGCCCTCCGCAGTCCCGGGAACCACCGGCCTCCGTCCGTCACTTCCGCTAGGTTTGGACGCCGGTCCAGGAGGCCGTGCAGTCACTTCCGGGGAATACCATTCTCCGGCCGTCTCCAGGGGGAGGCGCCGTTGCTCCCCCTTCTGCGGGGAAGTGCCCTGGCCGGGGTGGGGGTGGTGGCCCGCCTGAGGGCGGGGCCGAGCGCGCGACTCCCGGCCCCGACGGGCGCTGCGGCCGGGGCGGCGGGGGAGCGCCGCGCGAGGCCTTCACGGCACCCCTCAGCCTCCTGTCACCGCAGGGAGCGGCCCGCGCCGAGGGGCGCAGAGCGGTGTAGAGAAGGGCCAGCCGGCGTCGAGGGCCTGTGGAGAGCGCCCGGGGGCCGGAGGAGGGGCCGCCGCATGCGGCCTTCCCCGCCCCGCTCCGGGCGCTAAAGGGGTCGGTTCTTCTCAGAACATCAGCGACCCCGGGACCAGGATCAGGGACGTGCCTCTCGGGGCTTCTCTCGGCCGCCGCGGTCCGAGAATCCGCGGGCGGGGCTTAGACTGTGACTGTCCCCGGGTAGAATAAAAAGGCTTCCTCAAGTTGCGCCCCAGGAGGAGTCCCCAAGGAATGGGCAGACAGATGATAACCGGCCGGGGGTGGCGGTAGGAGGGACGAGGCCACCTCCGCAGCCGCGGGCTTGCCACCACCTCCCACCCAGGTCTGGCCGGGGGCGGGCTGCGCAGCCGGGGAGGGCCCGCCGCCCACGCTTCTCCACGGCCCCGCGGGCGTCCTCGGCGTTTCCGAAAGCACTTTCTACGGAAGGATGCTGCTGGCCTGGCCTTTCTGCCTGAAGCAGAGCGTCTGTAAATGTTTTGTTCGTGGATATTGCCGGCCATATGTGATGCTGGAGTAAGCTGTCGTTCAGCAGTTGGCGTGTGTTTTATGGAACCCTGCCTCCTAGCCAGGGGCCGGGGAGTCTTGGCAGGCAATGAACTTAAAATTTGCAAGCATGCCTCGGTTTCATCAACCTAGGTACTGCACCGACTGCTTTCTGAATCTCGTACCAGGAGTGTGGGTTGACTTCCTATCAGCGTGGTCTGTTCGCGGGCGCACTGGAGATGCACTCATTTCAGGCTTTCATGGCGCACCTTTGTCTCGTTTTCCTAACACATCCTTTCTAGCCTTTGTCTCAGCTCCAAGAACTTAAGCCCTTATACCAAGAACAAAAACACCCTAGCAAGTTAAATTAAAAATTAAAATTAAAGTAATTAAACAAACAAACCCTGCAAACATCTCCAAACCTTTCGACCAAAATATGTATAGATGAATGTGCAGACCAAAGGTTCAAGATATTATATTTAAAAATGAGTAGGGGCGCCTGGGTGGCTCAGTCGTAAGGCGTCTGCCTTCAGCTCGGGTCAGGATCCCAAGGTCCTGGGATGGAGCCCTCCATCGAGCCCTCCATGGGGCTTCCCGCTCAGCAGGAAGCCTGCTTCAGCCTCTCCCACTCCCCCTGCTTGTGTTCCCTCTCTCGCTGTGTCTCTCTCTGTCAAATAAATAAACGAAATATTTTAAAATAAATAAAAATGAGTCAAGGTTAAAGGTGATGTCCTTTCTAAGGCATACTTCAGTATTCCAAGTACATATTCCATAGGAAGCTCCCTGAGAACTGGGCAACCCAACAGTTCCCTGCTCTCTGGAATTTCAATGCCAATTGTGACTTTTTCTCACTCTCCAAATCAACATGCAGTAAGTAATTATTCAAAGCACCTGGAAGTAGGAGCGGTGACGAGGATGAAGGGAGAGGAAGAGTGAATCCAATACACCGAGTATCAACAGATCTTCCTATCATCCTGAATAGCTTTCCCACGTGCTTTGGAAGTTTCAGCAAGCACCTAAGGAACGTTTTAAGAATCCTAATCTCAAAAAAATGGGTGGTTTTAAGATCATTTCTCAATTCTCTTGGCCTTTCAGCTTGCATAACTAGTCCATTGGCATAACAATAACCTAAGAGGTTTTAAATAAATGCCTCTTTAAAAGGGAGAAGGGAAAAAGGAGGGGAAACCTAAATAACCAGATGCATCTATATCTAATGACAAATTGGGTAAATAGGACGTTATCAGCGGTTTGATGCACAGCTGATAAAAATTATCTTCAGCTAGGCATCCTTGAGGTCTGATTACAGAAGTGACCGTAGCCTACCCACGCACCTAAAGTTTATTTAAGAGATTGACCTAGGCTCTTCCGGGCTTTTAGCAAGAAGACTGGTAGGGGGAAATGTATCCCTTGCTAGTTCTTTGAGGCCATGGCACTTCTCAGCAACTTCTTCCTTTGGTGTTTCTGCTCTTCCTGGCTGTGTTTTCCTATTAGCCTTGGTTCTCAGGCTTCTAGAGGAGAACCTCAAATTGCAGCTGGTGCTGAGTTGCAATCTGAGGCTGAGCCTTGGTCTTTGCTGCGGCCTCTAGATGGAAGAGACAGATCTGGCTTCCTTTCTCCTCTTTTCAAGGTTCTGTATGGTGGGCAAGGTGGCAGCCCCAGGCTGCAGCCAGACTCCAGAGCTTTGCGCTACATGAAGAGGCTCTATAAGGCATATGCTACCAAGGAGGGGATCCCTAAATCCAACAGAAGTCCTCTCTACAACACTGTTCGGCTCTTCACATCCTACGCCCAGCACAAGCAGGCTCCTGGGGACCAGGCAACAGGTATGTAGGAGCAGATCTGTCCGTCTGCCCCAAGGGTTAATGGGTGGTGGGAAGCTGATAGACTTGTCTGTGTTTCAGTTACAGAATGGAGCTGGGCCTTGCTCTTTGAATTACTTTTTATTTTGCATGATACTCAGTATCCATAGTGAAACAAATCCGGTTCTTGACCTTACTGTTTCTTTCTAATGCCATCATGGATTAACGTGGGCTCATAGGGTGAAACTTCAGAGCTGCAAGAGACTTAATGGCTCTAAAGACTGAGCAGAGTGTTGCTGGAGGTCAGCATCTTGTCCAAAGTCACAAAATCAAGACTGGAAACCTGGTATTTTGACCTCTGTTTGCTTATTATTCCCATTCTATTCATGCTGACCTGGAAATGTGTCTGAAACGTCTCCTAGCTACTGGTATATTGTGTTAAATAGGATGTTTTCCCCTTGTTTGTTGCTTTCTGTGAGAGGCAGACTGAAGACAGCATTTGGAACAGTAGGTCCTCCCAAGAACAAAGTGTTAGTCATCAATCTGACCCAGCACCTTGGAGTCCTGTGTGTGTGAGAGAAAGGAGCGGTGCTTTAAAAAAACAAAACAAAAAACCTAGATTCACTAGCTCACGACCAAAACCGTTCTAACCCAATGGGTCAGCTGTGGCTGTTTATTTTTTTCTTCTTAAAGATTTTATTTATTTGATAGAGAGAGACACAGCGAGAGAGGGCACACAAGTGAGGGAGAAGGAGAAGCAGGCTCTTCGCTGAGCAGGGAGCCCGATGCGGGGCTCAGGACCCTGGGATCATGACCTGAGCCGGAGGCAGACGCTTAACGACTGAGCCTCCCAGGCGCCCCCAGCTGTGACTGTTTAAAACCTTTCCTTCTTCCTTGAGGTCCTATTTTATGAGATTGGTTTTAAAGCTTCCATTTGTTATCAATCTCAAGTGTTCCAAATTAGGCCATTAAGTTCTTTATTCTGTTCATTAGGGCTTAGAAAGTCTTTAATAAGGCTGGTAAGTGTGTTTATTACAGTTATCTCTCCAGAGACTTTCCTAAGAGGAAAAATAGTATTTACTAGCTTCTATGTTTGGAGTCATTTACTGAGATTGGGAAACTAGAGATTGGGAAATGTAATGATTCTCCGTTGTTTTTATTCACCACCAGAGCTGTTCAGAATTTTTGGTGATAAAATAGCCAGTTGTAGTCACTGGCAGTTAATTATGGTATCTATCCCCAGTATTTTCTCTAAACCCACCCCCCACCCTTTTTAAGGCTGGAGGAAGTGGGGAAGGAGAAGGGAGAAAACGCATTATGAAGGATAAATGCCTTGATTTGACTTGCTATTATGTTTTTGTATTAAAGCACTACCGGTGGGTTGTTTTTCTTCTCAGGATCCGTTCCATCAGTGGACCTGCTGTTTAACCTGGATCGTGTTACTGCCGTTGAAAACTTATTGAAGTCAGTCTTGCTATACACTTTCAGCAACTCCATTTCTTTTCCCTCTGCTGTTAAATGTGTGTGCAACCTGGTGATCAAAGAGCCCGAGTCTTCTAGCAGGACCCCCCATAGAGCTCCGTCCTCATTTACCTTTAACTTACAGTTTGACTTGAAAAAGACATACACATGGTTTGAAGTTGATGTGACCACTCTTCTTCGGCCTCTAGTGGCCTCCAACAAGAAAAGTATTCACATGTCTGTGGATTTTACCTGCTCGAGAGACCAGGGGCAGGATCCTTCAGCTCAGGACAGGCCATTTAACGTGACCCTCCAGGTGCCCCCTTCACTGCTTTTATATCTGAATGACACAAGCGCTCAGGCTTATCACGGGTGGTGTTCCCTTCGCTATAAACGGAGGCCTTCACAGAGTGCTGACCACAACAGGGGTCTGTCTGTCTGCCCCAAGGGAGAAGGGTCGGCTGAGGGTGTAAGATTTCCTCGTCACCGGAGAGGTCAGGAAACCGTCAGCTTGGCATTGAACAAGCCTCTGGTTCCAGCTTCTTTGAATCTGAGTGAATACTTCAAACAGTTTCTTTTTCCCCAACACGAGTGTGAGCTCCATGACTTCAGGCTAAGCTTCAGCCAGCTGAAGTGGGACAACTGGATCGTGGCCCCGCCCAGATACAACCCTCGATACTGTAAAGGGGACTGTCCAAGGGCAGTTGGACATCGGTACGGCTCGCCAGTTCACACCATGGTGCAGAACATCATCCACGAGAAGCTCGACTCCTCAGTGCCAAGACCGTCGTGTGTACCTGCTAAATACAGCCCTCTCAGTGTTTTGACCATTGAACCCGATGGCTCAATTGCTTACAAAGAATATGAAGACATGATAGCCACTAAGTGCACCTGTCGTTAATGTAGGGTTCTCTAAACTAAAACCTTGAGCCTCTTCAGCAAAGGAAATACTGTGTGCCTCTCTGTGCCTTCAAGGGAGAGCTCTGTGCCGAATGGCTATAATGGGGTATGTGTTGTGTAAGGAGGTGCCTGTGTAGATTCTGTGACATCCATCAGTGTAAAGTGGTAACATCTGCCTCTTTTATTTTCAAATGTAAATGAAATTATTTTGGAGGGCTTCAAACTTTTTTTCCTGAGCGATTTTTTTCTTTTCGTTGGGAGTCTGGTTATTCATGTAAGAAAAAAATCTTAACATAAATCTTGGATGGAATTGCAGCTCTAAATACAGTTCTGAGTGCTATAGTTTTATCTAATGGAAGAATAAATCCCTCTAGTGGCATAAATTTACCGTGTGTGTGTGTGGTTTTTTTTTTTAAAGGATTGCTCTTAAATGGTCTTTGGGGAGAGAGAAGTAGTATAATCTATAAGCTAGTCTTGGCTTAACTTTTTAGTTAAGAGAAGTTAGCTTTTCTACCTAAAACCTGGTGAAGGACATTTACTGGGACTGGAAGCACATAACCTATGCCTGCTGTATCAGTGTGATGGGAGCACCGTATGCTAATTCAGCTCTTCAGGTGGCCTGTATAAATAGGGTGACTCACATCAAACGGTATAACATTTGTCCCTTTTATCTAACGGAAATTGCCTTGCAGATTTTGACAAGAAAATGCAGTGTTCAAGATTTTTAGAATATTTTCTCCTTTATGTATTTAAAACCTCTGACCCTATGGAAGGAAGTCAGGGAACATTTTTTCCTCTTTTCATTTTTGTTTGTTTTTGCAGATTTCCCTCAGCTCCCATCACTCTGCCCCCACAAATTTTTTCCAGGTGGTTTTGGGAGTGTTGCCGTTAAATGAACCTGGCAGTGATTAGGTTACATTACAGAACAAGCCTGGTTTGGATATCAGGACTTATATGTGAGTTTTCAATAAATCCTACCTTGGGAGAGCCCTAGAGGTACAGGGTTAGGACCAATGTAGGGATGCCTGTTTCAACGTTTCTAACACCCTAATCTACAAACCAAAGTAACTCCTAAATGTGAGATGTACTTTTCATTTTTTTTTCTTAGTTTTATTTACTTGAGTAAACTCTTCACCCAACATGGGGCTTGAACTCAGAACTGCGAGATGTAGACTCTCTTGCTCTTCCAAATGAGCCATCCAGGCGCCCCCTGAGAATAGAATTCTTAATTTCCTTTTCAGTTTTTTCCTGGTGTGATGCTATCTTGCATACAGGTCACAAGCCTGCACATACTGACAGAAATGCTCTTCTAGCCGCTCCAAAAACATTTTTAAGAAAAATGAGCCTGGAGGTGTCTGGGTGCCTCAGTCATTAAGCGTCTGCCTTCGGCTCAGGTCGGGATCCCAGGGCCCTGGGTTCGAGTTCCGTGTCGGGCTTCCTGCTCAGCAGAAAGCCTGCTTCTCCCTTTCCCTCTGCTGCTCCCCCTGCTTATGCTCGCTCTCTCTCCCCCTGTCTTTCTCTCTGTCAAATAAAATCTTAAAAAAAAAAAAAAATGAAACTGTAACAAAGGGAGAAGTTTTAGGTGGCCCAGTTTCCAAGTAACTTTGCCATCTTGTTGTCTAACCTGAAGGAGGCCTTATTCTGTTGTAAATGAGGGTGCTAGTCTAAGAGATGGTGTTTCAAGGGTTTTGTCTAGTCTTCTGTCATTCTTCAGGGTAAAAAAATAACTGGCCTGGAAAGGGCATGAATAACCGTGGTGATGTGCAATAGAACTTACTTGAAGGTAAGTCTCTCTTAAAGACAGCCGTTTTCAAATGGACCACATGAAATATGTATCAAGTTAATGTACTCATAATTCCAACTAAACTGAAATTTTCTCCCCCAAAACAGGAATTTGCTTTCCTTTTTTCATGGCCTAGTTCTGTGGTTGAGTATGGATATGGTGGTCTGCAATCTGAAGGTTTAGGAAAAAAGAAAAGGAGTTGTTCTGATGGAAGTTAAGGATTAGGGTCAATGCCAAAATTAGAAAAAGTTCATCTTTACAGGTAACTTCTAAAGTTGACTTGTGTATAGTATTTAGATCCTACAATTGTGTAGTGATAGCATGAAGAACTGTAAGTTTGGCTTCCCTGTTATTTTGGGTTTTTTAAGCTTTACTTGTTAATCTAGTTTCTTCATGCATAGGACAGTGTTAATATTAAGGGATGATAAATCTTCTAAATTTAAGTTTCAAAGACTCTTCTGCACGACAGAGGAGGATATACTACTAGTCTCCCAACTGCCTCCTCCAAATGAAACCTGTTTTTCTTTGGTTACTCTTAGAAAAACTGACACTTAAGAAGAGAAATGAGAAAGGACAACGGTGATTGAAATCTGGAAATTCAAGGATGAGGCTACATGTGCCTTAAAGAGATGCATTCAGCTTTGGTATTTAGTTCAGATGAGATAGGAGGTCACCTAATGGGATGGGTGCTTTATTATGCCAAGGAACAATGGGGCATGTCAAGAGCTGGTTTTACCTTCAGCTGTGAGTTTCCTGCTCCTTATCTGTTTAAATCAAATCCTGTGTTAAATTGAATACTTGGTGTATTGAACTAACCAGGTTCAAGGGCAGAAGCCACTGGACTTGGTTTAGAGCTCAGTTTAGACAGTCTGTGGGGGAAATGTGGGGTAAAGGAAGTGTTCATGGTTACATATTGATAAAAGAAAAATGCTCAGAACTTGATATCAAAATTTTAAGTAACCAATTTTAATTTGTAACTTTAGGATTGTAAGTTATAAAATGATAAGTGAAATTAAAATACTTATTCTGTTAGAGGATGTTAGTCCCCAAAACATTTTTTTTTTTTTTTATTTGAGACAGAGAGAATGAGAGAGAGAGAGCACACGAGACGGGGGAGGGTCAGAGGGAGAAGCAGACTCTCCGCCGAGCAGGGAGCCTGATGCGGGACTCGATCCAGGGACTCCTGGATCGTGACCTGAGCCAAAGGCAGTCGCCCAACCAACTGAGCCACCCAGGCGCCCCCCCAAAACATTTCTTAATATCTTATTGGCTGAAGGGATTGATAGAAAAGCATTCTGTTTTATCCATTAACTGTTCTCTAAATAGAAATACAAGGAAACAATCAACACAACCAGGAGATTCAGATACTTCATTTTTTTTTTAATGATTTTATTTATTTGACAGAGACAGAGAGGGAACACAAGCAGGGGGAGTGGGAGAGGGAGAAGCAGGCTTCCCGCGGAGCAGGGAGCCTGGTGCGGGGCTCAATCCCAGGACCCTGGGATCATGACCTGAGCCGAAGGCAGACGCTTAATGACTGAGCCACCCAGGCGGCCCCAGATACTTTATCCTTAACCAAAATTGACAAGTAGGTACTCTTCGTGTGTATAATTACTTACTGATGCAGTTGTCCTTCCCAAAGCACAAATTTATTAGTTAATGTTTAGAAAGGGACCTAATAGGTTAGACCAGGGCTATTTCAGTAATTAAAGAATAGGATTTTTTAAGTGGTCTGATAGTATTTCTTTGTCCTACTTCAGTGTGTAATGCAATTTCTAGGGAACAACTGAGTAATATATGTGGTTAAGGGTCAACTGCATTTTGGGCATTTTATTGCTTAGGAATAAGGGCTGTGTGAACAATTTAGAGTCGGTGTCTCTCCCTGTTGGAATGCTGTGACACGCAGTGGTAGAGGTTCACAGCCGGTGCCTCGGTATTTTGGCTTTCTCAGAAATAATTAGCTCACTGAATAAATATTTATTGAACACCGACTATGGCCCAGGTGCTCGTGTGGTTAAGAACGGAGTCTGATGTTCTGCTGCAGGAAAAATATATCATGTACCGGAAACAGAGACTTCCTTTATTTCTCTAAATTCCAAGAGGGCTTTTGTCACCACAGAATATTCATTGGAAGAAAACATTTTGGGGTGGTACTACAGAAGGAGGCTGAATAGTATCTTTAGATTAGAATTTTTTAAAATAAACTTTATTTTAAGGTAATTGTAGATTAACATGCAATAGTAAGAAATACCAGAGAGATCATGTTTATCTTCTTGTTGCAAGGATGCTAAACTTGCAAAACTGTAGCATACTATCAGAATTAGGATATTGTCATTGATAGAATAGATTTTTTTTTTTTTACATTGAAAACTACTTGGTCAAGGGAAATGTTCATCCTAACGTCAAAGTTTTGCTAGATCCCTGGTATTTTGTGAAGTTAATATTTTGATATTATTTAATGGTATAATATTTTTTCATCTCCTGCCATTTCACCCCTACCCTTAAAACTTTGAGCCCTTTAAACTATAGTTTTATTTTTTAATTCTTTTAAAGATTTATTTATTTGAGAGAATGAGAGCTAGAGAGCATGAGAGGGAAGAGGGGCAGAGGGAGAAGCAGACTCCCCGCTGAGCAGGGAGCCCGATGTGGGACTCGATCCCGGGACTCCAGGATCATGACCTGAGCCGAAGGCAGTCGCCTAACCAACTGAGCCACCCAGGCGCCCTAAACTATAGTTTTATTAATTCAATAAGTACCTATTGGGTGTACACCACATGTTAGATACTCTTCTAAGTGGCGTCATAGTGGTAAATAAGATAAACATGGTACTTGTTCTCACGGAACTTTATATCAGTGTGGCGAGACAGACAATATACAAATACCATGAGCAGCCATATCCAGGAGCTTCTAGGCAGAACAGAGGTGAGAATGAACTTGTGTTCTTTTTTTTTTTTTTTTAAAGATTTTATTTATTTATTTGAGAGAGAGAGAATGAGAGAGAGCACATGAGAGGGAAGAGGGTCAGAGGGAGAAGCAGACCCCCCGCTGAGCAGGGAGCCCGATGTGGGACTCGATCCCGGGACTCCAGGATCATGACCTGAGCCGAAGGCAGTCGCTTAACCAACTGAGCCACCCAGGCGCCCCTGAGAATGAACTTGTGTTCTAAGAACAGAAAGAATTGGGTGTGACTGGCAAGTAGAGGAGGAGAAGGGGTGGGGTGTCAAGTGGAGTAGGGGGGACATGAGATGGAAGAAGCAGACAGACCATAGAGGTGATAAAATACCTTGTTAGGCCAGGACAAGGGGATTGACTAAGAGGCCGTGGAGAATGTTAAATCAGGGACTGGAAATGGTCAGATTCATTTTTTTTCTTAAATATTACTCTAAATATTACCTGTAGAGTTGTTTAGCAGAAACTAGTCTGAGGGGCACCTGGGTGGCTCAGTTGGTTAAGCGTCTGCCTTCTGCTCATGATCTCCAGGATTGAGCCCTGCATCGGACTTCCTGCTCAGCAGGGAGTCTGCTCCTCTCTCTCTCTCTCTCTCTCTCTCTCTCTCTCTCTCTCTCTCCCCTCCCCCCGCCCCTCCCTACTGCT